TGCAACACTCCCAGCCAAGTTCAATTAATTTGCCTTAAAGTAAGGCTTTAATAAAGTGCATAGTTTTATAATAATTCCCTAGTCTAGCCTGTAGCTAAGTAATACAGCTCTAAATAAGAGAGAAGTAGCTGTGACACCTGATAAATTATATTACTTGACTGATTTACGACTTACGTCCTCCTGTTCCGACCTAACAAAGAAAATTCAATTATCCAAGCAGTCTAGGTTCATGACTTTGGGAAAAGATGATCTGAAGCCAAAATTCAAGTATCCTGAATAATTTCTAAATGACAGCATGAAACACTGTTTAAAGTGCAGGAAGTAACAAGGATAAGCAAAGATCGTTTCAATGTTGTCACTTTCTGAAGGCAGCCTGCAAGGTATTTGACAATGTTATTGAAGCATAAAACTTTATTACCTTCAGGTCTAAATACCTATAACTTATAGAAACTTTATAAACTTTCAACACATAGTAAAATTTAAATGGTAAAATGTAATGGCCAACAATAATGCAATGCAAAGATAGCATATTTTAAAAAAAACAAACAGTGTGCAGAGGGAGGATGTTATGTTAGCACAAGAACTTTATTTCTTGTACCTAGGTTTTCTGTATTTAAATATATAATTCCAAAATTCCATTAAGGAATTGTTGTTTGTCAATCAAACCTGAATTTGTCATCAAATTCAGTTCTAAATTCCATAATTCATTTTGTTCTTACTCAGAATACCACAGTTTAACTTCAATAAGACAGTATAAGAGATAACATATACTCCTCCTGACTAGAGGACATGCTGGATTATCAGCACATGTTTTATTCTGTACTAAATTCTGACTGCACTATAGATTTCCTGTGGTTAACACTAGGATTTAATAAATCTTTTCACAAGAGATCATAGCCACTAAAACAGTAATTCAGACAAATATACATCCTGCCTTCAAAAATAACTAGTGTTTTAAGTTTGGCATAGAGAAACTAGTGACAACTGGGAATCTAAGCTCAGATTTCTAGGTGACTTTTTCTCCTTTTCCTTTAAGGAATTTGCAACTTTTCTTCAGAATTTATTCTCCCTTCCTATCACCTCCCCCCAACTCCCCAGCCACTCCAAAAAAGAAAAAAAAAAGAAAAAAAGAAAGAAAAAAAAAGAAGGAAAAAAAAGAAAGAAAAAAGCAAACAAAAGACTCTTTCAAACCAAAATTAGAAGTATTGTCATTGTTTAATTGCTTTCTGAAGCTATTTTGGGAGCTAATCTGGTCTAACTGGGCCATGTCAAATTCAAGTGTCTTGTCTAAGCTCATCATTGCTGTTTGCTTACACCTTGGAAAGAAAGTGGTATCTCCAGAGGGTAATTTGTGCCCATTGTACAAGAGCTTATCTTCAATGGATTTCTCATTCCTCAAAGTGCTATTGCTGGCTCTGCAGACTACAATGGAGTCTAGATTTCCGTAAGATAAATTCAACCAGGAAAAAATCAGTCAACCTTATACCTTGTGAAATTTTTACCCCTGGATTAAAAAAAATATGTTTTCAATAAAATTGACAGTGTTTATATATCAGATAATCTTACAGACCATCAGTATGTTTAATGTAGCTATTTAATATGCTTCATAAACACACATTAAAGCCTATGGTAATGTAATTTCTAGACTTTTAATGCTGGACTGTACAGAAATTGCATTCAGATGTGCAACAATGTACAATCTCACTCAGTTTATTTGAAATAGCTGTCTCTTTCCTATCTGAACACTATATGAAAACCCAGAGGCAAAGAACAAGATGTATTATTCCTTGTTCTTAATCAAACTTCAAATTAGAAAAGCATGTGTGCAAATGCTGCTGTTTGCCTGATTGATAGAGAAATCTTACCACACTCAGGAGGAATTTAGAGGGTTTCTGGGAAGAAGTTCTAGCTCTAAGCTCAGACTGCAGAGAAAGTTTGCTTTCCTAGCATCTGACAGTGAAACATGATTCTGCTTAACACGGCATGACTAGAGTTGCACGGTGGGAGACTGTAGGCAATGAAAAAATTTTTAACAAATGGCTCCTATCTGCAAGGAACAGAGCACTGATCTTTTGATCAGAATACATCTTTGGTAATGAGGTATGCCAAGCATGCTGTACCAGAATTAATCTTTCTATAAAAGCCAGAAAATTGCTACAATTCAATATGAAGATAATGAAAAGAATGTTTCACAGTATCCAGGTTCTGGTCAGGTGGAAGTAAGTCATGATGTTTTCTTTCTATCTAGCCAGAAATTATGAAGGTGTCTGTCACAATTCATGATTTCCTATTCCCATGGGTTTCTTCTGTTCCAAGAGCTACATCTGCTCTGCATGACTCTTTTCTTCAAATGAAATGAAGGAACAGTAGAGTGGTGCTGTGTTGGCCCAAATCTAAACCTGGGAGCAGGGAAGTGCTCTTGAATCCTGCACTTTAGAGGCAGTCAGTAAGTTTCATCTGATCAGCAAATCAAAATGGTGCTCCCCCTCACCCTCCCCCACCAAATGTTCCACTCCATACCGCTCTGACATCCATAATCAGAAAATGACTAAACAAATAGCCTCAAAATAAAATGTGGCTATTTTCACCAGAAGTATATTGGTCAATGCAGCCACTCGGAACACTGATTGGGCTTGATCTTTCATTACAGAATAATTAAAGACTCACTGGCCAAAAAGAATTGAAGAATGCGTACAAATTAATGAAAAAATTATAAGGGCACTCACTAGGAAGAACAGACAGATGTATAGTAGTTTCTGCCCTGTCGAGTACTCAATATAAAGTATTTAAATATTCAGTAGTTTTGGAATTAGTCAGCAAAAATTCTTTGCCCAGATGAACATTTCTATTACTGTGCAACGTGGCTGGGGCCACCCACATACATTGCTCTAATGATGAATTATTTCCAAATGAATCAAAGCTGCAGTTTCAGCAAGATGCAACAAAAAAGTATGCCACCAGAAAATTCAGGAGTATTATGTTCAGAAGCAAAAAAAAATCTTCAAGCTAATCAGGCAAAGAATGCACCTGAACCACCTCCCCCCCACCACCATGCTGCCCAAAAGCTCTGTTTAACAAAATATAGAGTCTGTTACTTCTGACTATATTCTGTAGGAGTCAGTCCATGCATCAAACTCCAGGAGAGGACTTATGATCATGACTTAAGGGCTGAGAGAGGTGTCCCTGTACCATGTTTAATTTTTTTGCAGCAATGTGATCTAGAACAAACTGGCTCTTTCATTGGTTTACCCTACTAATGTGCTCTCTCTGCCTTGCATTGGCTTTTGTATATTCCTTTCTTAAGTCTGACATCTCAGCTGTCAGACAAGAATATACCTAGATTCTCTTGCAGGTCTGCTTCTAGTTGTTGTGATAACTCTCCTAAGTCTGTGTTATCTGTCGGGAAAAATATTCTCTTTCTCTTTTAATCTCATGAAATTTTAAAAAGGTTTCATCAATGTCAAAGCGCTGGAAGATAGTGAAAAGAAGCACTGCCACCTGAAAATCTCATAAGGACAAGGGAAGTACACCTCTCATATACACCAATCATAGCAGAGCAAAATATTTGCTAAATACTAGTTTGAAATTTAGTTTGAATGAAAACAGGAGAATAGAAGAAACACTTGTGCCAAGAGTTGCTCCATGCCAAAATCTGCCTTGCTATCCACAGCTGAAAGAATCTACATTTGACACTGTAGATTAACTGAATTGTGAATGACACAGAACACAAAACTAAGCCTTATCTGGAGCACCATGGATTTTGTTTTATTATTTCACGCAGTAAAATATGTATCTTCAAAAAATTATTAACATCCTGCTCTCTCCAGAGAGGTACAGATGTCAAGTGATACAACAAAGGTTTTATAGGTTTTATACAGGATGAAGGTCAAGGGAGCAGGATGGAAGTTTCTAGCATCTTATCACAGAAGCCAACCCTGCAGCCTCCCCTGCTACCAAAACCTTGACATGTAAACCTAATACAGGCAGGAGTTTAATAATCACTTTCACAATACTTGGGCTGTCTGAAAAATATTGAGAAGCCCAAGGACTCAGAAACTGTTCTCTCTTTTTGATCTTAGATAAGCCAAATATCTTCAGCTATACACTGGGTTTTTCTTCAGCTAACTTGGGTCTTGTGAAGATACAGAAGCCTGTATAAGGTCTATAAATACTAAAATATAATAATAAAAAATCAGTATTTCTTTAGATTATATGACTAAAATATAATACATAAAAAGATACACTGATATATAATTAAAACTGGATAATTCATGAAAAGCATTAATAAAATTAGAAGAACTGTCAGAAGGTTTCCTGGTGTTTATATATATATATATATATATATATATATTATATATATATAAATTTATTCAAAGCCATGTATTACTGATAGGGAAAGAAGAAAATTCTGAAACAAAAATAATTCCAATTTAAAGTGATCTAAAGTTAAAAAGATTTGGAAGAAGTTCAGTTTTCTGTCTCAGAAATAAACAAAATTTTAAATTACTAGCAATAGAACAACATAAACTTCTATAATACAAATTATCCAGTTCATAAACTCCTTATTTATTTAAACACCTGTATGAATCTTATAGTTGTTACTTTCACATTACTGAGCAAAAGTTCTTCTCAGCATCGATACTCCATATTCTAGCTAGATATTCAGCAAATATGGTAATGTTGCACAAATTCTCCCACAGGAAAAGCTCAAGAGAGTATAAGGAGATTCTTCCAAGAACCAGATTATTGAAAAGAAAATCAAAATAACTTGGCAAATCTCATAACTGATGGTAAAAGACACTTGCTTAGTCTGAATGACAACGCTACATCCAGAAGAAATACAGGCTAGGTTCCCTGTTGTGATCACTGTGTCCTCCTTTTCATTATCAGTTCTGCTACACAAAACACCAGCAAGCAAAACCTTCCACTGTGTACTGAAAATGAAACTGCAGACACCTCGCTAGCAGGAGGCATCATGCAACCACTTTAGCTTTGCTTACCATCTGTCGAGCATCCACTGGTGCCATCACTGGAACAGTAGCGCATTTCAATCCGTTGCCTTCCCACCTCCAGTAAATTTGGGTCAGGCAAGCGCGCTTTGCAGGTGTATCGGAAACGTTGTTCATAGTGACCACCATTGTCTGAAATATTGACTGGGGTCCAAGGTGTCCAGGGAGTTGTCTTTTTTAACTCTGGGCAGGCGTTGGTGTTACAAGGCTGATATTCCTGAAAGAAAAATGGTCATAATGAATACAATCAGCAAATATGACTTTAAAAACACCCCAGAAACCCTCAAAACAGACAAAAAGATAACCAATTAAAAAAAGCCTCTGATACTTTTTCCAGCATTTCCAATGGCAGTGATCATCAATAAACTGAATTCCAATTTCAAACTGAAAGTGTTTTTTCTGCTACTATGCAAGCAGAGTATCACACTGCTAAGAGCAATAATATGCCACTACAAATTAGATCTATTATATCCATAAAATCAGTAAAACAAACACTATAAGTACCAGGATAAAGCACATCCTTCATAAATTTATAGCCCCAAATAAGGTTTAGCTAAATATGCTAGAGCTTTTAATTAGGAAGCATTCTGATAAACTGCAAGTACTTGACACAAACCAGCAAAAAATAATTCCTTGGAAAAATCTACTGGCATATGAATAACCAAATCACTGTCCATTTTGTGTATTGCTTATGTATTACAAAGGGGACAACAGACAAAAAAATGTTTTCTACTACAGATTTTGGCTCCCTGAGGTGCACGTTACTCATAGCTCCAGCATTGCTAAACCTATCTTCAGAAGCAAATTCCCTGTGGACTGAATGCACTAAAAGGAACAGATTGCATCTGAGAAACAAATGTAGAATTGCCAGTATTCTTACAAATGCAGACTTATCAGTATTGTCAGACCTCACAATACCTGTTTTCTTATGAATACCATCAAGATCTGTAGGTCCTGACTATTCATTTTCCAGAGCAAAATACAATTCATCTAATGTAAATGCTTTGTAAACTATATGGATGAAATTAAACAACCATTAAATATCAAAATAAATTCCCACTGACAAATAATTAAAGACAAAAAGAAACAGGCACCAGTGGAACAATTTTTAAATTCTCTTGCTACCTCTGACCTCTTAGAGAGAAACTTAGCAGGAATAACCTTCTGAAAAGGAGCCTATTAAAGTTTGTAATTCTATTAAATTCTAAAAAAAATAAGGAAACAATAGAAATAACAGTTTTATCACATAGTACAACCTCCTTCTTCCATAACTCCTACCCCAGCTGATGCCATCACGTTCCAACAAGTAATAGATTACCTGCTCCTCTCTTTCCCATGGTGATAATAGCTTTTTTATCTCATACTTTCCTCAGTCCACTACCTCTTCTCTCAGATAGTCTAACTTATTAATATACGCAATGAGTTTGAGAGCAATTGCTTTCAATCCACATTTTGGTTTAAGTGCTGTGTTGCTATTTCAGATCTAAAAGAAATTTCTTTGTCTGAAAGCCCTTCTAATTTTTCCATCTGTTAGAACTGGAAAAAAAAATTCCCCAGGAACCTCTGCCTCACTTATAGAGCAATGCACCAGAGAACCCAGTGTTATGTTCAAGATTCTCATGTTCAGAGGCCAGATGGACTTGTGACAAACTTCCTGCTTTTACAGTTTTGTGGAATTTCAGAAAGAGAGAGCTTTTAGCCCAAAGGCTTCAGCTGGACTACTCCTGTTTGCTCCTCAAGGCTGGGCAAAGTTCCTTCCCACCTAAAATCTGGTGATTACTGCTATGGTGACCACAGGAGTCATACTCAGGCACCATTTAGGAAAGAGGACCTCTTTAGAGCAGAGGACTGGATCAACCTTTCTGGGATCTGAGTTTCAGTCTTGACTGGTTTCTGGGTCAGAAGACAGCAATGAACAACCAAACTACCTTGTCCTGTGTACAGCAGGGGAAGTAACTTTCTTCATGACTCCTCCAGGCAACTATTTAAATCAGGTATGTTTTAGACTGAGGACAGAACGTGTATGACTATTCTTGCAGCACATGAATTGTAAAAAAAGAAATCACAAAATTAACAGATGTCAGCTGCAGTCAGAACTACCCTGCTTGTTATCTGAACTGGCTACTCACTTCCAACATGCAGTCCCCTCCAGTGACTGGATTACAGTGCATCTTTTAGCAAGAACACTCTGCCTTTCCCTCCTTTTTTTTTTTTAAAGACATCTAGCACTGAGGAGTCTATCACCTCCCTGCATCAGCTGTTCCACTATTTAGTAATCCTCAAAGGCAACAAATTGCAAGTTAATTCAAAGCTGCATTTTCCACTTAATTTAATTTTCCAGTCACTGAATTTTGCTGTGCTTTTATTAATGATACTGAAAGTGTTTCTTGTCCCCTACCTACAAAAAAGTTTTTCATGACCAAGTACTCATACATAATGATAAAATAAGTTGAAATTCTTAAAGCTGTGCAGGTTTTAAAACCTCATCTCCAGGTCCTGTGCACCCCAATGTCTTCCTTCTGTCCTATTTCCTTATTTTACTTAAGACTGGACACCAAAATTTGACTTGGCATTCTAGAAGCAGTCTTATCAATACAGCATGCAAAGGCAAACATGACCCCATTCTACTTGACAGTCTGACTTCAATATGTACATTATTACATTAGTGCTTTTTCCTTCCACAACATTGCACAAAGAGCATAAGTAGACTCAATTATCTCTGATAACCTGTCCTTCTCTAAATCACAGCTTTACAACTACGTATAGTTTCCTATCCCACATAAGAGGCGGATATTTGGGAATATTGAAATACATTTTATTAGCTTCTGCAATTTTCTATCATGTTATACACTACCTCAATAATCTCTGTCATGCTCAAGCCTTACTGAAAATGTCTTATATCACTGTCTAGACTGCTGATAAAAATGTTAAGTGCTATTGACCCAAGAACTGATTCCAGGCAGACTCTGCTAGACACATCCCAGTAATTTATATGTCCATTGACATCACATTTTTCAACTTGTCAATGAAATGGCTTTTAATCCATTTAACATTTGCCATATATTTCAGTTTTCTGAATCAAAGTATTCCTGTTGCAAATGCAAATGAACTGGAAAAGGAGATCTGCTGTATCGCTTTCAAACATCTTGAAACGCAAACTCTTTTCTAGTAGTATATAAGCAGGAAAAATTAAAACTGTATAATAGCTTACTACGGTGTTTGTTTCAATATAGCCACAATGGTCTAAAAGTTTCAATACCTCATTTATTATTGATTTTTGTACCGATATTTTTCAATCAAAAATAAAAATTACTAGAAATGTGAGAGCTTTCTTTACTCACCATGGCACAGACAGGTGAGGGTCATGTAAAGTAGAATATGTGAGATATGCAATGAACCTTTTGTCAAATAAAAATAGGCAGTAGAGGAAGAAGTTAATTTAGTGGCAGCATATTGAATGTTGCTTTGCTAACACACATCTGAGATGAACACGTCAGCTCACTCGCTTCTGGAAAGACAGACTACTAGTATTCAGTGTGCTTCAGGATGTGTAGTCCCTTCATACAACATAACAGAGGGTATAGTCTTATGCCATTACATGAGCCAGAAAGAAAGCTGTTCCTGAAGAGTGTCTGTGGAGACCATTTATTAGTTTTTCCTTTCTTCTTGCTTGGTGCATAGCTTATATGAAAGTTTGACTGATGTCAGGCTTGACTATTCAACCATGAGATAATACCCATGAAAGGCCCAGAATGTCAGGGGAAAGAAAAGTACACATTGTTTACCCAAAAAATATTTACAGCAGTAAATAATCTCTCTGTGAGAAAATGCAGAGGACTATCACCACAATGGATGACTCCGTGAAGTTCTGGCACTGATAATGACCTGGCAGAGCCTGCTGGCTGCTCTCACGAACAGCTAGTGCAGCAAACTGCTCTACCAACTACCACATCTGCCACAGAGGAATTAGAAATTGCACGGTGCTTGTTGAAAGCACCGATGTGATCTGATTCTACAAAACTCCAGTATAAGCAGAACAGTGATCTTGCTCTGAATGGTCTTAGATTTGAAAATAAGTAAAGGAGAGGAGAGAAAAGGCACAATTCTGATCACATATGGCTATATTAAGTGCTGCTAGCATGAGACATAGTCCAATTGGGAAGACTTGACAGAGACTGCAAATATGGAAACTGATACTTTTGCTTCGATTATCCTCCCCTTATCACCTTGTCCAATGCTTGAAAAATTTACTCAAGCGGGATTTCAGGAATATAGCCCTCTCCAAAGCAATTCTACTGTCTAGAATCATGGATACATTGATCAAGTAACCACATATGTCTCAGATGAATAAAAATCTCAGATGAAACACTGAGGTCTCAGCTGAACAGTGGTAAGACAGAATTAGAAAAGCAGTGAAACATTCTGTTTCAACAGAGGAACTGAGACTGTGGCCACTAAACTCCACCTCATACATTCCACATGGACTGAACAAAGAGATGAGGATCAAGCTCTCCTGGGAGATTCTCCAGCTACTCATAGAAGAAAACTTCAGGGGCTCATATGATAGGTTTAAGTACATTAGTTCTTCGGGTACACTTGTGGACTCAGAACACGAATTACTTGAGGCCATTTACAGACTCCAAAAGTATCATTGCAATAGTTCAAACTTAACCACATCCTCAAAGTTCTCTTTGCAAGTTGTCCTAAAACTTGTGGTCTAATTCATCATATCATGGCTTTCAGTTTAGAGTGGATTTAGTCAGTGGACACTGTTAAATTACGGCCTGGCTGTACCTGGTAAAGACGCCATAAAATAAGACCTGTAAAGACTAAATTTTAGGGGACAACTCAATGGATCATTGGGAATTTTACACAAAATATACAAATAAATACATGTCTCACAAAATACATGTCTATGAAAATGATAAATTAACATAAATAAATTATCATGAAGAATACTGGTGGCAATATGAGAAAAGGCATCATAAATTAAAATCATAATTTGGAATCATAGAACATAAATATTGACTATGCCATTAAGCAACTACCTTGCTTCTGTTTTTAAATAATATTTCCTATTATTTGTGTGTAATGAAAAAAAGAATATTAATATCATGTTTTCTACCAAGATTTATTTAGAATTATTTGGTTATATTCTTTTAGAAAAGGACAACTAAAATATTATTTTCAAAACATCTTATTTCAAACTGTAGGAGA